TTCTTAACAAGAAATGGCATTGAATTGACTTTTGAGCTATTGGATAAATCACCATTATATAATTATGCTAGATTTTGTGCTAGATTTTATTTCAGTTGTTATCATTTTCAATTGCTGGCAAAATCCAAATTAGATATTTTAGAAAATAGATTAGTAAATTTTTATTTTAGATCATTCAGCAGTTATTAGGGAGTTTATACTTTCCATATGGTTTCTTACCCAGTAAATAATCATCATAAATTTGATAATAATTTTCAGAATCTTAATAAATTAGTTTGTAATCGTAATATTAGTTATGAACTTATTGATAAATTAGCAAATATTTGCAAATGTATTCAATCATTGCAAATATGTAATCTTAGATTTAACAATAAACTTGAAGATAGTCTGGCTCAATTAATTAAAGCACAAAATCAAATAAAGAAACTAACCATTCAGTTACACACTAATCAAACTTTATCAGATAATTTCAGACAAGCAATACACTCACATTCACAATCAATAACATCTTATTAAAGCAGTGGAGCATTTGATATATTACCAATTCTATGCAATTTAAAGACTTTATTGTTAGTATATACTGACATTAATACAAAATATTTGAAAGATACTTTGCTGCCAAGTCTTGAATCTGTGACATTATACTGTATATTCACAAATGATCATTTACATCAGACCACCTGATTGATTTTTTTAACAACAATGGAAAAAATCTTAAATATTTAGATCTTGATGACATTCAGAGGGTGGTAGTAAACTTTTGAAAGAACTACTTCAATTCATTGCACAATGTTGTAAAAATCTAGCACATTTATCAATAGTTTATGATAGAGGTTGGAATCGACTAAAATAGATGACTAATTTAGTCAACTAACTTTTTTTTAAACAACTAATAGTCAACTACATCTGGAAAATATAAAAAAAATTTACATGTGTCAATTGTAAGTTTAATAATAAAAAAGTGTAAAACTTACATCAGCACTGTAAGATTTACACAATATT